GCTTGTCCTCAGTCTTCTTACTTATTAAATGGAAAAATCATCTCCCTTACATGATTGTTTTGAGAAGTTAGAGACATAGTATAAGCTAAGGGCCTAGCCCAATTCCTGCCTTATGTCTGGCATCAGTAATGTAATTAGAACAATATTTAAGAGATTTACTGTGTTCTGCTCACGATACTGCACACTGAAGATAAAATAATAAGTGAGGACAGCAACAGTCAGTGACTTTTATCAAATAATCAAAAAAAATGTGATTTTTTTGGTAAGTGCTAAAAAAGAGAGGGAATTCATACTGTGTTTATAAGAAAAAGGGAGTTGACTGAATCAGAGGTTAGAGGAAACTCACTTGAGGAAGAGAATAGGGGGAATATTGAATTTAATCTAAAGAATGAAAAGATGTTTACTAGGCAAGAGGAGAGGGTTCACCAAAGTGGTCTAAGCAGAAGCTGAAGGAAGGTTCTGACATGGGAGGGAATTATGAGGAACAGAAATAAAGCCCTTGCTTCTGAAGCAGGGAACACAATGTGAGTGGACTGAAGAGTCAGCAAAGGACCAGACCCTGGAGGCCTTGAAGCCTTTGTGAACGTGTTTACTTCTTTATACCAGGAGCAATGGCAAGCCATGAGTTTTCAGCAGAGAAAATTACATGATCAAAGAGTGATCCTTCTCCTTTTCTACCTCCCTCAAAGATAGGAATGGATGGCCTCGCTCTGGTTTGGCTCAATCAGACAATATGGGTTTCAATGTGGTGTGTCATTTTTTAAAAGAAGGATACTGAAAACAATGTGTGTTTCTGCAGCCACAGAGTGGTGAAAAACAAGAGATGTTTCATGTCCACAAAACAAGACTTACAAGGTTTATTTACTAAATTAAATCTGTTTTTTTTTTTTTTTACGACAAATGTTAGAACTCAAAAAATAAAACCATCCAAAAAATAGATTAATCTAAAACAGTATGATGGACCAATTAGCATTGAAAGTATGCAAGGAAAGACTAGACAATCATGGAGAGATTTTCTTCCCAGTGTTCCAAATGTTGAACTCCCTGCACCCTATAATGGGAGCCTACTATTTCTACCAAAAAAAAAAAAAATTCCCCATGACTCCTATCCATTTGGGGCATAGCTCTGCCTCTTGTTCACTTTTGAGTAGCTTGTTTTCTTCTCCTAAGGGACAGGATACTGACTTGTGTCTCCTCTCAAAGGCCTCCCTTAAAAAGAAATGTCTCTCTGACCCACTCGTGATCTCCTAATGAGCTTGCCTACAATCCTTGATTTGCATACTTGCTCTTTCTAATCCCTTTGATATCTGCTTTTATATTCTCTTGACTTGATTTCAAATAACATGATTATATAGCAAAACTGCGGCGCAGCAGTATGAAGGAAACAAAAGGTACAGAGTAATGGATGAGAAAATCAGTGATGACATTAATGTAGGTAAAGCCAATGAACTGTGGAAGTGGGAGGAGGAGACAGGGAGAACTGAAGGGGAAAAGAAGGAAAGAGGAAGGGAAAGATGAGCATGAGCATATGCAATCGAAGATGAATATAATAAGTACTGAGATGAATTATTGAGTTGAAGAGAAATTCAGTTTAATTTTCGATAAATCCACCTTCTGCTTTCTTTAAACCTCTAACTTATTAGGCCATTCCTTCCTACTGGCTTCGTAAAATTAGTATGGTTAGATTGATGTTTCCCAAGCTTTAGTAATTCTGTCAACTTCATGGTTTTTGTCATATACACCTTAATTTAGTAGTAGTTACTTATTTAATGTTGTACTTTAAATTGATTGTAAATTGACCCTTTAAACATTTTTTCTAAGAAATAATCAAGTTGTAATGTTTAATGAGCTATCTCTATATATATATTACATATATAATAATTTCTTCTTTTTTCTTTTCTTTTTTTTAAATTAATTTTTATTTTTTGGTGACATTAGTTAATGAAATCTAATAAGTTTCAGCTGTACATTTTAACAGCAAGGTATATATATATTTACACTGTGTGTTCACCTCTCATAGTTAGATTTCTTTCTGTCACCACATATTTGACCCCCTTTATCCCGTCTACCACCCCTCTCACCTCTACCCTCTGATAACCACCAGTCTATTGTCTATGTCCATGAGTCCCTGTCTATGTCCATGAGTCCCTGTTTATTTGTCCTGTTCATTTGTTGCTTTTAGATTACTATCCCACATATATGTGATATCATGTGATTTTCAACTTTTTGTGTCTGGCTTACTTTGCTTAGCATGATTATCTCGAAGTCCATCCATGTTGTTGCAAATGGCAGTATTTCATCTCTTCTTATGGTTGAGTAATATACCATTGTATATATGTACCACAGCTTCTTTAGCCAATCATCTCTTGTAGGACACTTCGGTTGCTTCCATGTCCTGGTCACCGTAAATAATGCAGCTGTGAACATCGGTGTGCAAATATCTTTGGATATGAATTTTCAAGTCTTCAGGGCAAATACCCAGTAGAGGGATTATTGGATCATATGGTAGAGCAATTCTTAGTTTTTTGAGGACCCTCCATACTGTTTTCCATAGTGGCTATACCAATTTGCAGTCCCACCAGCAGTGTATGAGGGTTCCTTTTTCTCCACATCCTCTCCAACAAGTATGCATTTTTAAACGACATTTTAATTTAGACTCATTTGATAAAATAAACAAAAATAAACATTTTTTAAAAATGTTCTCTGTGTACCACCTAAAATCATCTTGAGAATCTTTAGGTATGCTAAACCCTTGATCTGAGGTGAGGTCAGAGCCTACAGTAGAATCTGAACTAGTACTAACCTTCCTCAAACTCATTTCTCTTTCTATTAGACCATAATGATACATTTCAGGAGCATAGCTCTTTTGTGCATAATATATATGCAACTTTTTGGAAGACTCTGACAGAGCGACATTACTCCTAAGGGCTGGTTATGTTGTAGCTTTCCTATACTGTCATATTTGCTCTTGTTTTCAGACTTCTTTCCACTTCTGCTTAAAATGGCTCACAGCACTGGTTTGATACGTAAAAGCAATTATTTAATACTCTAAACTTTTCTCGTGGCCCTTTTTTTTCTTTTTTTTCTTGTGGTCCTTTTTTCAAACATTTATTTTTGTGACTATGGAGGGGGAGGTAGTCTTCTAGCTGGGAGCTTTGTAGCGGCTTAGAGGTAAGCACTTGATGAAGGGTGACAGTGACATACTGAGTCCATGTTTCTATTCCGTGTTCTCCTCACACTTGTTTGCCAGTGATTGTAGTAGAACAATGACCCTCCAAAGATGTCAATATCCTATTCCCTGGAACCTGTGATTATGTTCTGTTATGTGGCAAAGGGGAATTAAGATGGCAGATGACATTAATATTCCTATTCTGCTGACTACAATAGGGAGATAATTCTGGATTATCCAGGTGGGCTCAATGTAATTGCAAGGTGCTTAGAAGTAGAGAAAGGCAGAAAGGAGGGTCAAAGTGGTTTGACTCAACTCACTATTACTGACTTTGGCAATGAAGGAGGCTATGAGCCAAAGAAGTGGACAGCTTCTAGAAGCTGGAAAAAGCAAGAAAAGAAATTCCTCCTAGAGCTTCTACAAGGAATGCATCCCTGCCAATATTCAGCCCATTGAGATCCATCACTGACTTCTGGCCTCCAAACCATAATAAATTTATGTTGCTTTAAGCCATTAAGTTTGTATTAATTGTTACAACAGCAATAGAAAACTAACACACTGAGCTTCAAATTTTATGTAGTTTCTTGTTCTCTTGGCATGTTCATTTTTAACAAAGCAACAGTGAACTAATTATGACAAATTTGGAATCCTACTCTTATTAAAATACCTATTTCCTAAATTTACACATTATTCTTGTTCCAAAAAATTAATAATAATTGTTCCAACAAATTAAGAAAGGTTTTGGAGAATCAATAAAATAAGTATTTTTTTTAAAAGGCTGTATAACCAGGGCTTTGGATTTAAAAAAAAAAAGCTCTACCATTTACTCATTTACTAGAGTGGTTTGGGAAAACCGATCCCTCTAAGCCTCTGTTTGCTCATCTATAAAATGAGAATAAAAATAGGATCTATTGTATGGTACCTATACAATAGGTTTGGGGAAAAGATTTAAGGAGATAATCTACATAAAGTCCTTAGCATGGCGCCTGGTATGAAATTAAGTGCATTACATAATGGTGTTAGTTATTATTATTATTGTTGTTGCATTATCTTTCTAGTTTCAAAAACTTTCTTAACAAAAAGTATTCCTTTCAGAACACTTGCTGTGTCAGCGAACTGCACGGTTAATAGTCTATCGCTTTTCTTTCAATCTTAATTTCTAAGAGGCAGCAGTGAACCATTCTGAAAAAAAGCATCTCCCTTAGCAGTACTTACTTAATCCTGAGTCAACAATTCTTTTAATTATTAAATATTCATTCACTAAAGTAATCTTTTAAAAAACAGGGTAAGACAATGAATGGCCTAACTAAATCCTAATTAATTTTTTTTTTTTTTTTAATTTCTCTAAAGAGGAAGGGGTGAATTCTTTGCTAGGCTCCAGTTGAAGTCCTTTCCCGCACCGCCTCTGCACGAAAGAGGGAGTCCCGGCCCTCGCCAACGCGCGAGGTATTTCGTACGTCCGCGGGCGGTGCCAGGTGAGCTCCCGCCGAACTGAGAGGCCAAGGAGGGACAAGCCGCGCCTCGCGCTCAGCGCCAGCAGCGGCTGCAGGTTGTTAAGCTGCACCCTCCGCGGCCCGCGCGCGCCCTCATGGCCTCCTGCGGGTGTGCGCCCAGAGCCCCCTGGCTAGGAGACGCGTTAGGCCTGATGTGTCCAACTTCTGGGGCATTCACAGTGCTCTGACCGCTCCCCTTCGTCTCTACCCCTCCTTCCCACTCCAACCCCCCATCCTCGCCCCCCCACGCGCCACAGCCCCAACTCGCTTCCCCGGGGCTCCGGAAGGGAAGGAGGCGTGTCCGGAGCAGGCGGGAGGGAGCTATATAAAAGTGCTGGCGGCGCTCTGGCCTGGGCTTCAATCGCCGCCTTGAGCCGGGACGCGGATCGCAGCTGGCAGCACGGGCCGTGGAGTGGGCGCTGCGCTAGGACTGCCCAATGCGTGGACTATCTGCAGCCGCTGCTCGTGCAATATGCTGGAGCTCCAAAACAGCTAAACGGAGTCGCCACACCGCTGCCTGGGCTGGATCACAGCGCAGCCTTTCCTTATGAAGAAGACACAAGTGAGTAGGGCGCGCCCCGAAGCTCTCTGGCTCTCCAAGAAAATCGCGCCCGGAGGCCGGTGCTTCCCGGCACTGGCTACCTGGGCGTGCGGGGCTGTGCCCGCGGGACCAGCCAAGAAGGTGCGGGGAGGCGGGTGTGGCGTGCGAGTCGGAGCCGCCCGGGCCGGGTGAGCCAGACAGAGGAGGAGTGGGAATGAGAGGGAGCTGGTGTCAAGTTTGCAGCCGCAGCCGTTAAGTTTGGAGCTGTCAAGTTGAGAACTGCAGTTTCTGTAAGGAGGAAGGATCTGCTTGCTCTTTGGCCGAAGAGTTTAAGTTATCATGGGGAGGCATGTCTTTGCACGGGAGACATTTTCCCGTGGATTCCGGGGTGTTACCGAACAGCTCCCTGTACGCCACACTTGCTCTGCAACCTAGACTTTTGTGCAGCCCCCAAGTGGGCGCGGGGCTCGTGCCGACGCGGGTGCAGCGGCGGGAGCGAATCTCACCCCGAGTTTCTTGGCGGCAGAGCTCGGTGGGGCGGAGAACCTGCCCAGCCAGCCTGGAAATACTTGGCTCTCCGCGGCATTTGCCGGGTTTGAGGCTCTGAGTGAGATCACTAGAGAGCTCTAGATGGGGTAGTACCTCCACATTTGCACCCACCTTCTTTCATCACAGAAGAGAAAGGTTTTTTTTTTTTTTTTTTTTTTATGGGCACCTCTGATGATAGTTATTGAGGTAATCCCCAGTGCTGCTAAATTGTGCATTATACAGAAAACACTGGGTAAAGCACTGCCCAGGGGTACAATTAGATTTTTTTTTTCCCTTGAAGCAAATGTGTGTCTTGCTCAGAAAGGGCCGCCACGCTACTCCCTTCCATAGTTCTTTTCGCGGCTGTAGTTGTTGCCTCTTTTCTCCCTTTTGGAATTGTTCTGTGTATCTGCTGCGGGTTGGGTAAGGCTTCTCTTTCACCTCCCCAGAGGTTCTATCCGACATTGCAATTTCTGAAATGTGTTGAAGGGGTAGAAGTGTTTGAGAGAAGAGGGAAATTGGAGGTTTGTACAAGTCATCAGTCTAGAATAAAGGCATCCATGTGGTGGAAATGCTTTATTAAATGACCTGCTTCATATCGTGTTTTAAATAGATGTCTAGGTTTGGGAAATGTACACACTCAAGGAAGTAGGAAGAACTGAGCTGGTTGCACCGTGTGAAAAAGGGCAGGGGAAAGGGGCAGAAAGATTTGTGTAGTTTCTAGGGCAGCAGCCTAAGACAAAGAGGAGCAGAGTGCAGATCCCTCTCTTGCATGCACGTTAGTTTATAGGTAGAGCACTGAATGCCACACTTGGGATCACCACAGTGAACTGTTGAAATGCAAGTGTTAAAGACTTTGGCAACAAAAGAGGAGTTTTAATGTAATTACTTGATTTGTAATAAAGTAATTTGTAACAAAGCTTTCTGCTTTGAGGAATAATAAGCAAGGGCGGGGAACCAATTTCTTGTTACCGTAGCATCTGCCCACTTGCATGGTAGCCGTGAGGGCTGGATGGAGACACCGTTACCTGCTAGTTGAGAAAAAGAGCGTAAACTTTCCTATTTAAACAAGAACACTGGAGACAGATCAGGTTAATAACCAACACTCCAAAGGGGGCGATGTACTGTCATGTCACTTTGAGAGTCAGTAGGATTGATGATCCTTGCACCCTTGCTTTGCGAAACAAATGTGAGCTCTGTAATCTCTTTTACCACTTGTAAATCGGATTACATGGAATAATTCCATTGAAAACTAGAAAGAGGTCAATCTAGCCTGAAACTCTATGGCATTAATGACTCACTGCTGCCGACCAGGGACATTTGAGACAGCTAAGTATTTTAGAAATGTGACCTGCTCAGACCAAGTTAAAGTGCAAGCCCTTTGGGGGAACTTGCTGATGTTAAAGGACTTGCAGGCATAGGAGGGCAGTACCCTTGTTGAATGAAGACATTCATTGCCTGGGATCTAATGACCATCAAGGTTTTCTTTAAGGATACTTCTAGCAATTCCACATTCTTGCCATGGAAAAGGGGGATGCAAGAAATAGCATGAAATCAATAAAATAATTGGTGGAGATAGGGGAGGGGGATTCGATTCTCATTCATATTGCTAAATTTTCTAATCTAAAAGTTACAAAGAAATTTTCTGTGCAACTCTGGATGGAGAGTAGCACAAGGAAATCAGATGCTAAGGAGAAAGATGAATCGTCCTACTGAATCTAATATAATCCTTGCCAAGAAAGGAGATCTTTCAAATCAATAGTTTAAATGGTCATTTATAAAGATAGCATCAATACCAGAGTTCTATTTTAAGACAAACAGAACTATATTCTCCTGTTACCCAAGATGTAAAATGAGAATTTGATAATAGTAATAATAATAATAACTTGAATTATGCAGCTCTCCAAGAATCAACGGTACACCAGGCATTCTGGCTTGTCAATCAAGCTAAATAAGTGTGAAAATTCCATCAACAGCCACTTGGGCTTTGATAAATGATCCTTTTATTTATTTAGCATGTGTGATGGATTTCAGTATTTGGGAAATAATTACATGGGCAGTAGTCAGTTGTAACAATAAATTTAATCACTTCCACAGGAATGAATGCATTTTGCGTTTTCAGATTTCTGATTGCATTTTATTCATATAGTGTGGATTTACAGTTTCTGAAGGGAATTGTGGCTCTAGTTTAGAGAGAATATCTATTTCAATATATAATCTTTTATTTTCAATATAATACTCTGATACACTAGTATATTAAATAACAATTGGGCAGCATATTTTTGCAAGACTATTTTTTAAAATGCTGTCATTTTAATGGGCCTGACACTATGCTTATTGATGTTATACTTACATTTTAGTTTTGAGACGGTTTGTACACGTTTTCATGACTGCTGTCAGAAATACTAAGAAAAATTCATCTTGCAAACAGTGTAGAAAAGGCCAACTTAGGAATACATCAGTTTTAATAGAAGAAGCAAATAGAATGCTCGTTAGCTTTTGTTATTCCAAGAAAACAACTCTTTTGACTGTGTGAAGTTCATCTGGGTGATGGATGATGTAATTTTATAGAAAAAAATTAACATTTATGAAAAGAGCATTTTTTCACCTTGTCCTTAAAATCACTCAATTTGGAATGTGTGCTTTGAATAATTCTATTTTGTGTCGCTTTTAATTTATACATTCTGCCAAGATTTTAAAACTCAAGTGCTAAGTCAATTACATTTAACATAACACAAGGAAAATAAGCATATGGAAATCTGAAGGCCTGAGCCAAACCAATTAAAATTGCTAAATTTTATTTATGTCTAACTGCTGATTTGAACAGAGCAAATTGTGAGTCACATTTGTTCTTTAATGATAGGTGATCGAAATGTTTTCATTGCCAGAAATAATAAAGATGAAATAATCTTTTCATCACCATTTGGCTAGTATGAATATTGGAGATTTTACACTTGGTCCGTCATTGAAGCCTACTCCATGAGTGCTTCCCCATCCATGTCTAGGGAGCACCTCAGATGTAGTGGAAAGATCTTACATTTTAATTCCCGTTTTACCAATGTTGAGACAAATAACCATAGGCAAACGGTTAAACTCCTTGGGAATTCTGTTGCGTAACCTTTCCAATGGTTATAAAATATTTATAAAGAGTTTTCTCACACGGTGGTTGTAAGGACTGAAGATTTTATATATATATCTTTATCCCAGAAGAGTGGCTTACTGTAGTTATAGTCTGAATATTTTGTCCCTGAGAAGAGAATTGCCTTCCAGCAATTCTCTGACTTAAAACCTAGAGAAAAGCTATTGCACATAAACGATGCTTAACCAGGAAAGCATAAAAGCCAAGTTTCCATAAATCTGAATCTATGGATTCAGTACCTCCTATTCAGATAGGATGATATCTGTTCATAGGCGATAATGAACACACATCAAACTAGGATTGTGTGAAAACAAAGGCTACATGTGGCATGAAGGATGTTAAATTCTTTAAAGTTTTCTTTAAATGTGAAAAGGAATGAGAGGATTAAAATCGAAAATAGAACTAGAAAATGGAAATATTATCACCATATCTGATTCACTTCCATAGTTGCACACTCTTGCTTTCCAACTTCCCCTTGTATGATTCTGAGATTTTATTTTAGACTAGGGACTTAGTCAGCTTCCTATCCCTGGTGTTCTTACACTTGCTCTTCTGAGTGAAGCCATGCATTCATTTCTGTAGAGTGTCTTTATTGTCTTTCCCAGGCAACTGCATTTAACATTTTTTTTTTCCAGTATGCAAGTTTGGGCATTTTTTTTTTTTTTCTTTTCTTGATTACTTTAATGTTCTCATTTGTAAATTAGGGTGAGATATTTGGAAATAAATTTCTGAGGAATGATCTTTTGTTTTTGTTTTCTAGTACATGAATCACAAGCAGCTACAGGAGACTCTGGTTTTGGTATGTCACCTGTGTAGTCAGAACAATTTATGAAACAAATTGAGGCAACACCAGGATGCTTTGATAGTATATGCTGTTTTCAAGTTTATTTTGTACAGATTTTGTCTCATAGAAACCTTTGATTGTAGCCTTACTCATTTACAGATGCAACAAAATGTTCTTGCCTTTTCACTTAATTATGGGCACACTAAAAACTGTTTACAGGCACTGGGAGTTTGAGAGAATTGTCATTATACTATCTCTATTCTGTCCAGAAAAAAAAGTGATTTCCTTATAATGTCTTACAATTTTCTTATATTTTGGCCTCGTGGTTCTTTTTTTAAGATCATATTATGTGTCATCTAAAGGAAAGCTGTTCTTTATGTAACTCTGTCTTTTGGCTACATTTTACTGTTTTTCTTGGCTGCCACATTGACTTGGATATTAGGGGATGGGTTCTTTTATTAGATCAGATATTAAGTTGTAGGACTTTGGGAAGGTATTTGAACACCTCCAAAACTCAGTTTTCTCAACTGAGAAAATCTTGAGAGTAGGGCTAGGTGATTTCTGAGTGCC